AGTTCGAGTAACAAGTGGACAAAAACCTAGTACCAAGATTATTTACATCGTATTGCAAACTTCTGTACGACTGTTTCAAATATCTTCTCAAAAAAAAAATCATTTCTAGTAACACCAAACGTCAAAAACGAATGTTGAACTTCGTATGAAACACTTGAAAGTACTGGTGAAATGAAACTGATGATGAAATTTTGCCTGTGTTTGCACAAGTTCCTTGAACTTTGAAATTTATTTTCTCTCGTTCCCATGGGAAATTGTTTTCGGTGTTACTTCAGGCAATTATTTATGTATTTAGCTTAAAGAAAATGTAAAAATGACTGTAAAATACTTAAAATTATTCTGGTACCAGATTTTTGTCCACTAAAACCTGAAATTGCTATATTTTCTATCGGATTTTGTCTTAAAGGTATTTTATTATGAATGGGATGCATTAACAATTGTATTCTCTATACAAACTTAACTCGTATCATGCCGATAAATATTATCTATATATTAAAAACTATTTACCATTTTTCAATATATTGTTTATAAACCTTTATGACAGTGTGAAAATTAAATTTGGCTCTTGAATAAAAATAAATGATCAACATCACGCCATTGTGAGTCATTTCCTGAGGAAGATGAGGACAGATGACGAAGTTGTTTTTTCGTCCGCGGGTCACAGCCAAAAACGGCTCAGAAGGAAACAACACCGTCATTCCACGTCAACGATTCATTCAATATTCATGTAATTATGACTAAATATTATCAAGTATGCCCTAGGGCTAAAGTGAGTCACACCGTCACGCTAAACAAAGTACCGCGCTCAGCTGTGATGTAACAAATCAGTTATCTACTGAATACTTATACAGTGGAAGCACGTTAACACGGTCACCAAAGGCCATGGAAATTTCGCCTTAGTAACGGGGCAGGGTCAAATTTCTCGACTGGTCTAAATTGGGCGATGTCTTAACTGATACATCGCAACTGCACTTCGAAACAACTTTTCTTCAATAAGCATCCGGAATGCAGGTATAATTTTGAAAAAAAAAATTAAACTGCACTCAGTACGAATGATATTCACAAATGGAAAGATGAACATTACTGGTTTTTTAAAGGATTATACAGGCTGAGACTTCAGAAAGTGGCCGTTGGCAGTATTAACGGGTTTGCCGCATAATCGGGTTTTCTTACAAGAAAACGTCTAGGCGTTTCGCTGGGACAAAAAAACGGGGCCGTAATAACGAGGTGGCCGAAAGGCGGGATTCCACTGTAATATCGTTTTGCGGTTCCAGTCAGTCTTTAATAAGAACAGATCTGTCTGCAGTGTTTTACGTGTATTTTGCAGTCTCTTGAGGATTCGCTGGAATGATTGGTGAATCCACAGATACGTCATCTGGTGAATCTTCTGCATACTGTTCGTCGTCGTTCTCCTCGTCGGAGTTGATCTTTTCGTATCCACTTGCAGAGTTCACTAACAACCTTTTCCGTGTGAACATTGCTTGATCTCTTAGGCAGCTGCAAGTCAGCAACAAAAACCAATAAATACGATACTAATCTGCATTAACAAACGTCAGCCTTCTCGCGCCCAATCCTCTCCCCGTTCTGTATGAACGTAGGCAAACCTGATCATTGCATTCTGGTGACGCAAATGTGTAGACCTCTGTGAAGTTTTGCTGATTGGTTGTTGTTTGCGCGAGAAAATTCACACCAACCAATCAGAGAGATACACAGAGCCCTGTAGTACTACGTCATCAGTTACAATAACGCTGCTCAAATATCGTTACATGTAATTTTTTCGTAGGTTTACACATTAAGGTCGTGCTACGTTCTACTGGGATCAACCGTTTAACCGTAATAACCGTAGGACACTTTTCCAACCGTTTTCGGTTGAACGGCGGCAACTCCTGGGTGTAGTCCTTACGCCAGCTACAATCAAGCGACATTATTATACATTGAACTCATTATCTCTTTTCTGATTGGCCGAAAGCGTACAGTGAATTTTCGAAATCAGCGCCTGTGACGTTATCTAGCTACAGATTATACAATAATTATGTCAAGGACACTCAAGGTCACGGGTAATCAAGTCATGTATGACCACGATGCATGATTTCTTTCATGATTATTAAAAAATCATTGATACCAAAAAAATACAGTTATACATAGAAAATTAACTCACAAGGTACAGAAAAAAGGCAATAACATCAAAATGGCTCCCAGTACGAAAACAAATCCAGGCACGTTAAATTTTAATGATTTGGGGTACAGCGAGTTGAACAGGGCTGTTCCACCAAACGTGCACAGCATCTCCACTGAGGAAACTGCAGAAAACAGTGAGCCTGAAACAAAGAAAGGAAAAGATTAAGTGAAACTTCACTTTACCAGTGTAAAAGTAGAAAGGACAAAACAGAAATAGATAAAAGCTGGTTCTTTGAATCCATACATCGCGGAAAGTTAGCACGTTCGATTCCAATCTAACAGGGGTCGCTCTGGGTTATAGTACACTAACAAACTTCTCCGATGTTCTACGACCTATTGGAATGGTCCGCAGTCATATTCATGTTCATCATATTCAGTTACATATATTTACTAGAGATTGACATAACGAGCTGACTACACATGGCTTTATTATCTATAACGTCATTTCTACCTTGATCGTCTGCGCTGACAATTTTTGACATCATCGCTCTGAAGACAGGCGGACCAGCTCCTCCAAATATACCAATAATAGGAGCTGAAAGAACAGTAATAAAACTCAGTTAGCACATCTTATAGTGGTATTTGAAATGAAGCTACCATGCTCAGCGCCCGCCTCGCGCTCGGTTTTTTTAGTTTTCTTTTGCAACATTCAATGTCAAGCCCCAGCGCTCCAGGAAGCTCTCCGACTAATGAAGATGTACAGAAGAATCCTAACGTGTGGTCGTAATAACAGTCTGCGTTTTTCATTTTGACGGGGTTTTTGCTGGTCTAGGGAAGGTTAGGCCTCCGAGCAACTTTACCAGGGATAGAGGAATACCGAGAGATTCTTGAAATAAAACATCATTGTAAACGGCAACGAAAACTTATACTTGTAACAGATAAATCGGGGCGGTGAGAGGGTTAGCGATCATTAGGAAAGGAAGCGTTGAACTTCAAGAGAAGAAACAATGCAATGTACACCCAACCTTCCCATCATGCAGCGCGCGTATGTTGCGTTGACATATGCGCATTGGCCACTCTATTTTCTATGGTCTGACAAAATTATTATGCAAAGCTCTCTCGTGATATACCATGGAATATCCTACATGCGACTTGTATTTTCTGACTATACACACTCGCCTATAAAGGCTCGTGTGTGCACGGAGAAAATTCAAGTGACTCGTGGGATATTCCACGGTACGCTACCCTAAAGCGTTGTGTAACTTAGTATTTAGTATCATTTCACTTACTTATAAAGACCATGAGAAGTGTTTTGGAGAATCCAAGCCACACCAGGAATCCTATATATGACACTACCGCGATACGACTGATATTGGCATCTGAGAGACACATTCCAAACACTTTAATAGCGGTCACGCCGCCCACGCCGTGCATAAACTGGCGAAACGCTAAGAAATAGCCCACAAACTCCGGAGAGAAACACAGCGGTGAGTGCAGAGTGTAAAGGTTTACCACTCCAGTTATGCCCATCACAGCTATGGCAGTAATTCCGGCACAAAAAGTCAAAACCACCAAGTTTCTTTTCCGGGTTCCTGAAGCCTCAAAGTAAACTCTCCACGACGATTTGAAGTTCTCCAAGCTGAATAATCGTCCTGTTTCAACGCTGGATTTGGCTCTTGATTCCGGAACGAAGAAAATGGCGTAGAGTATGGCTGCCACATGACATCCAAAAATGATCCAATAGGGCCCTATGAATCCCAGCTTTTCAATGTACAAACCGCTGGTCAGTTGAGCCACCATGCCTCCAAGGAATACAATCAGCTCTATAACGCCTGTCAGTTTGAGAACAAATAACACATTACCGCAATATCGCTATCAGTTCAAATAATGCGTCAGGAAAAGTTACTGAATTCTGATCCAAATTGGTTTATATTGACAGCACTCTTTTATTTAGAGGGCTAATTATTTATAATTACATGCATGCTCTGATGTCTCTGATTGTTCAATTTGCAGTCCATAACTTGCAACATGCAGGTACCACGGAGAGGAAGGAACTGGTAGGGCTATACCCCTACCACTTTATTGCTTATGTTGAATGTTTTAGTGCNAAATGTATTATTACATAACAACTTATCCTTATTAAACATAATATTATGGCTAATACCTCTTTCTCAAGCTTTTTCATTGAATCATTTAATTCCTTCCCTTCGCATCCGGTCTTTTGCTGGAAATGGTATGGAAATCCTTTGGCCTCACTAATGCGAGAGTAGATGTACTGCTGGGACACTGGAACATTCATGAACAACCCAAATGCATAAAGAAACAGGACTGGCTCCAATGTAAGCAACCGTCGCAAGGAAAACCCTCTCTGCACTGGCATGATGAATTCTACAGTTCCTAAAGAAAGCTGGAAAGTTAATTTGATACAGGAGCGAATTAAACTTTGGAAGGGAGAGGTAGAGACCTTTCAGTGATTGTTTGAAATGTTGAAAACCCTGACAAATCATGTCAAATACAGACAGATAACTGGTTGGATACTGCACTGGCTAGTCTAAATAGCATTTTAATGAGCCTTGGTTACTGTAAACATCAGCAAATAAGCCGCACTTGCAGATAAGCCATTCTCATTGTCTCAATGACTCAAGTCACACGGATTGATTTGACTTATGAACACTTCACTCTCCCAGCGTATAATTATGCAGTCGTCCTTTGCACAAGAAGTTCTGTTAGCCTCTTTATTTTTATATCCTGGCTCATATGCTGATACTTACAGATGTTTAAGTTTTTATCTGTATAAGCAATTGAACTATTCAAGCATCTCCATGGCACGTTATCTATTTGTATGCCTCTCTATCTCTTTTTCTCACCAATTTGTCACGCAATAAAGACTCGCGTGACAGCTAAAGATACCCAACTTCTTGGATGAATTTCGATGCAAATTATTTTAACATCATGCTCATGCTTCATCGGTTAAAATGAGACCAGCATAGAGATGAAATGTTTCTCAGTCAAGATGACTTGGCATACCCCTAATAAAGAAGGTCAAAGAAATTCGGTTTCAAATGCCGGTCTAGCGCAGTCGAAAGAAACTAACGCTTTCGCTTCCAATACTCGTCCAATCGTTGTAAACATCTAAGTTCATACTGTAGCGAAGCGTACGATTTGCAACTCAGAACACTATCTTGACATTAGTAAAAGCAAGTTCGTTCAAATTATAGGGTCAAATTTCACTGTTATCCAAGGTTCACAAGAAATTCATTTGCAGCATCCAGATGCAGCGATCAGCTGAAAACTGATGCGTAACGTGTTGATCCTTTCAGTATGACTACACAAATCAGAATAATTAAGCTTAACTAAAATATGAATTATTTACCTCTTGTAGCGCACTCAGCGTAAAAAATGGACTGGTTCAAGGGTGTGTAAGACAGTGCAAGCGCAGCTCATCGCTATCCTAATTGTTTATCACCAGTGGGACCATTGTGCAACCCTTGATCACGGGATTGCTGAGTCACAACTGGCCCGGGGCTGGGGAGGAAATCAACGGGTCCTGAAGGGTAGCTTAGGACTGGACTCCAAACCGGAACGTCTTGAGGAAAGAGGCTCAAAACGGCAACTTCTTTCCGCTAATCTGCTTGGAAAGGTGTACCTCGCCGACAATGCCTGGAAAGTCACGGAAGGTGGATACCCGTCTTTCGTGACAACCGCGAATGTATGGATACCCTTACTAAATAAGGGAATGAAGATGTTTGTAGGACAGAACCATCGATATCAAAATAGTCCTCGACTCGCTGGGGTAATTTTAAAAGGCGAGGAGATGTAAAATAAAATGTGGATTTTTGATGAGAAATTCT